TAGAGACTTCTGAAGACGATGATTTATTTAGTGGTGCGATGTGGCACTGATTTTTGGTAATCTTTGATCAAATTTTTAGCCTCAATAGATGTTTCCCGGATCCAGATTATCTATTATTCAGACTCTACTTCAGGATGTTTCATATTTTAGCAGATTATTGTTTTGAATAATTTAGGTGCATTATGATACGAGAACTAGAGATGTTTCAGACTTTTGAAGACGAAGTGTGACTTGATTGCGGGACCTTCAGTTCTAAAGTTATTGCGGTACACTTTTGAAGTTTATCATCTTGGTTCACTGATCACATCTGTAGACTAGAACCTCACTCTTTAACACCGGAGTTATGTTGGAGTCTTCGAAGGACGACTGGGCATATATATATATATATATATATATATATATATATATATATATATATATATATATATATATATATATATATATATATATATATATATATGTTGGAGTCTTCGAAGGACGACTGTTAAGGAGTTTCAACTTTCTTGGATGCAATACCATCATCATCAGACAGTTCCTGAATTATCACATCCTTCAGAATTTTATTGTCATCATCGTCCTTCTTTGGATCATCGTCTTTCTTCGAAGAGGAGGAGTGATGTTTTTCAGATTTCCATGCTTCAGATCTTATTATTCTACACACAGTTGATCTCAATAATGTGGATGTTATTCCACTCTTTGTTGCTGACCATTTAACCGAGGTCAACATACCATATTCAGACACATGATCGATAGATCAAAAGTCTCGGCTCAGCAACTCCCGACTAAGGATTTTATTTATCCGAAGTCTTTGATCACCAATGTCTGAAGCTCAAATATCATGGACCAGCAGACCCCTCTTGGTTGTTACAGTATTTCTCGAGTCAACAGTTGGTCTGTCAACCCTTCAGCTCAACAAAGATTTTTAGTAGAAGGTATTTTTCGTTTTTTTTTTTATCAAAAAATATTTTTTCAGCAAAGCAACATAATCAGCAAACTACACATGACCTTGGAAGTATTAATATAATTTATGTCTCTTCGAGACCCTTCTCACATCAAGGGGGGGGGGGGGGGGGGCAATGTGAAGCTCCTGGTATCCAACGTTCTCTTGACCATAATATTTATTTTTGATCTTATTGCATTATCGATCGAAAATAGGGGGAATATTCAGTTAGCATCCATATCAGATTTGATGTTTATTGGAGTTTGGATTTTGATACTTTGAAGACGAAGATTTGTTTAGCAATGTAATGTGGCATTAATTTTTTATCATTATTGATCAAAAAAGTTTCCTTGCTAGACTATCTCTGAATTCAGGTTATTTATTATTTCGAGTTCATTTCAGGATGGATCACTCTTTCAGAGAATTGAGATTTGTTGGGGTTTTTGAACACAAAGTGTGATCTGATTTTGTGATCTTCATTTCTGTAGTTTTGGGAGGGGCTCTGAAGATGATCAACTTGGTTCACTGATCACATTTGTAGATGTGGATCTCGAAAGTGATGACTCCAGAGCCGAAGACCTTTGGCGTTAGATATTCATTACCCGGAGTTAGAAATCACAGACAATTCAGAGTTTCAAGAAATTTCGCCATTTACTCATTTGTATCATTGTTATTATTGTACATCCATGTTGGATACTGTGTATTTTAGCATTGTATCACTATTATTATCCCTCGTCATTTCTAAACATTTAGGGGATGTTGTTGGAGCTGGGAATGTTCTCAAATGCTGAGTGATAGCTAGGTTATCATATTCCCTTTATTTATTGTGACCTCTCTCAATAAATAAAGAGGGAGTGGTCATTATTTGTTAGTGCACCAAAAATTTAGTCATTTAGGTTAAAGAGAGTGTCGCTGGGAATTTCTTTCCCTAGAAGATTGTTCTCCATGTAATATTCACTACTCTTTCTATCTATGAAAATCATTTAACTAATCTTGTTCTTAAGTTTATTATGTCGATTATCTTCATGTTTATTCATATTCCGCAATGGTCAATCGTTCAAATATATAATATATATATATATATATATATATATATATATATATATATATATATATATATATATATATAGGGTCTGGTTCCTGTGATGACTCTTTTTAAAGTGAGCTTGTGATGACATCTTAAAAAAATTGCAAAAAAAATTAAAAAAAAATAAAAATTATAAAATCAAGCATAGTATTATATCCGGGAGAAAAAAAAATTGGAAATTTTTTTTGCATCATTAAAATTGAATCATAGATCATAAAAATTGACTCATGGATCATAAAAATGATCCATGCTTCAATTTTAATGATCCATTTTTTTTCTTCGATGTAGTACTTTGCTCGATTTTATGATTTGTATTTTTTTTAGATTTTTTTTTCAATTTTTTTAAGGTGTTCTCACAAGTCATCAATTTAAAAAGAGTCATCACCCGATCTTCTCTCTCTCTATATATATATATATATATATATATATATATATATATATATATATATATATATATAATGGTTTGCAACTTGGAAATAATAAAATGGGCCACATAAACGGTGGTTTTTGGCAACAAAAATATGGAAATAAAGGAAAGTCAACAAAATTTCGGTTAAACCACACCATTCTAAGGAAATTTTGATTTAAAACCCAACCGTTCTAATACAAACTGGTTAAAAACAGAACCACATCGATAGAATGTAAAACAGCATGAAAAACCGTAAAATCAAACCTAAACGAAAACCGCACCTATCGGTTTGCGGTTTGTTTGGTCTAAAAACTGCATCATGTTTATCCTTAGTGGGGGTGGGGTTTGTGGCCCTCTAATTTAATATATATATATATATATATATATAATATATATATATATATATATATATATATATATATATATATATATATATATATATATATATAAAACAGAATAAAATTATAAAAATTATTAAGAAAGCTAAAATAAATATTGTAAGTTAGACCAACCATTAAAAAAATATTAAAAAAATAATAATAAAAAATTGAAACCAAAAAGAACAGCATTATAAGAAAAAAAAAATATTGTAAGTTAGACCAACCATAAAGATAAAATTACATAAAATGGTTACTATGGTTGGTAAATTATGTGATTTTGGTCCAAAACAAAATGTTGGTGCAATAAAATTGGATCTTTTTATTGTTTTTGATCCCTATCAACATAAAACGACTATTATACCCATATATATATATATATATATATATATATATATACATATATATATATTTTTATATTTATTCAAATGTTTTTCATTAATTAAAATTTAGAAAAAGGTCTCTCTCTCTCTCTCTCTCTCTCTCTCTCTCTCTCTCTCTCTCTCTCTCTCTCTCTCTCTCTCTCTCTCTCTCTCTCTCTCTCTCTCTCTCAGTTGGTCTTTCACGAACTTGAGATCAACTTATGTTTATATATATTTTTAATTTTTTTTATATTTATTCAAATGTTTTTTTCATTAATGAAAATTTAGAAAAAGGTCTCTCTCTCTCTCTCTCTCAATTGGTCTTTCACGAACTTAAGATCAACTTATGAACACAAACACATTATCAAGAACATCCATATCTTCAAGAACACATACCTACATCAGATTTTCTGGGCATTTCTAAAAACACATTCATACATCAGAATTTTTGGGCTTCTTCTTCAAAACACACACAAATAAAAAATTATGAACATATATATTCAAGAATAACACACATCAGAGGATGAGTTTTATATATCTGTACTAGGAGTTTTCCGAGTGTCACCACTATCCGCCATCACCACCTGTAATCACCTCCATCTTCACCTAGAAATCACCAGACGCCACTTGGTGATAGGGTTTTAAATCAGAGGAGTTTTCCAGATCTGCACTTGGGTTAAGGTTATTCAGATGGTGGTTGCTTCCATGGTTATTATCTTAATTTCTAATTTCACTTCAGTCGTTTCAAAATTAAAACACTAATTATTTTAGATTTGACTTCTCTTTCGTTGTTATCAATTCTCACAGGAAGTGGAGGAATCCTATATCATGATTAAGCCTGATGGCGTTCAACGAGGACTCGTAAGTTTTTTGATTTAAGTTTATTAACAATAGATTTAGCTCCATATTTTTCTTAATCTTAGTAATTGTGGATTTTGATTGTTATTATTACAGGTGGGAGAGATAATTTCTAGGTTTGAAAAGAAAGGGTTGAAGCTTTTCGAGTGCCCTAAAGATCTAGCAGAGGTTTGGTTTGTTTTTCTCTCCGATTTTTAGGGTTATTAACACACTAATCACAATTCTCGATTGCAAATGGTTTATAGGAATATTATAAGGATTTGAGCTCGAAGCCTTTCTTCCCTAAACTGAATAGCTACATTACATCTAGTCCTGTTGTTTGTATGGTAATATACTATTTGTTGAGATTTTTGGTTAAAATTTTATTATAGGAGTTTTCCAGATCTGCAGTTGTGTTCATCCCTAGAATCTGGGGTTTTTCAGACAGAGGGAAAGGGAGAAGAGAAAAAAGACGAAGAAGGAGAGACGAGGACAATCATAGGGGTGGTTTCTAGGTTCTTGATTTTGATTTATTTATTTTCTTAATGTTGTATGTGTGTGTGTTTAAGAAGACGACGTTAAAGAACCCAAATGAAGATTTAGTTAAAGATGAGAGAGAGAGAAAGAGAGATTTGTAGATTTTTTTTTGGTTTTTTAAGTAAAAGAATAATAAAAGAAATTAAAAAAGAATTACTTAGGGGGTATATTCGTCATTTAAGGTTGGGCCTGGACCAAAACCACACAAAAATAATAACCATGGGGACCAAAACCACACAAGATATCCGAAATTGAACCATTGGCGCACCACCAAAAGTTTTTGGACAAAAAATACAGAATTTTGCCAACCACAGGGACCATTTTTGCAATTTTGTCAACCATAAAAATAAAAACATGAAACCATAAGGACCGATCATTTTAAGAAAATAAAAATTATGATTTTTTTGAAACCAAATGAACCATTTGTGTAATTTAATAGTCTTAATCTTATTTGTTAAAAGGGTGGACATCATTCAGGTAACTACACTTGTCTCCAAACCACAAAAATGTAATAAAAAATGAACAACTAAAAAAAGTAGATGAGAATAATTAACTTTATAGATTACAATTAAAACCCATAATACCATAAAAACATCGAGTTTCTTGAACTTAACTAATTAGAACAAAGCGACTCTTCTTCAATTCTGCACAACAAGAAATTAACAGCATCTGCAATCTCATCTACTGTACTCAGTTGGCATCCATCTTCAAGCTGCCCACATGACAAGAACACCACACTTAATTAGCAATTAATTAAACAAACTAAGCTCGATTTTTTTAATTAAAACATTTAATATTCCCGATCTAATATTTATAAAAACTGGATCAACTAGTAAAAGAATTTTTTCCTGGAACCCACAGCGATCGCTGAAATATTGCAAGTAGGCTTCCATTTCATTCGTTTGCCGTTTCCAAAAAAACAAGTGACGAAAATGACGAGTTATAGAAATACACGGGTATACGTGAATGTTGATGCATAATTGCATATATCTTAGTGAAACCATTTAGGGTATTTTGGTCCTTTACTATTTATGTATACCGTCTATTTTATTGAAAATCGAATATCAAGAATGAAAACTAACCTTGACACTAAGAGTGTAGAGAACCATTTGCTCAACTGTGGTAACATTAAGGTGAAGAATAGTTAACCATAAACACTGTAGACCAGCTACCATCTTCAAGAGCTGTCTCTTCCGTTTCTTGGAAAGTATCTTAAGGTTTGCATGGCTTTCCACCATTGCCACTTCGATTTCAGCCATAGCAGGTGGCCGGTTTTTGGTCTTGGTGGCTGAACCACCACCTCCACCACCACCATCATCATAAATAGCCCGGCCAATAGAGTATTGTGGGAATGTAAAGAATTCCTTAAAGGGCTGTGACGGTGGAGAATAGCCATTAAGATTCGCGCTTTTCTTAACCTCCAGCGTTTGTACTTGATGCTCTAATTGTTTCACAAAGTTTATGGCTCCTGCAACTATTGATGCCTGATCACCCTAAAAAGATATTCATTTAAATTTAGTTTTTTAAATATATATATACATCAAGAATCTAAACATACGTACAGAAGAAATCAATAATTGTCCAACTTTTATATAAACAAAATCAATCATGTTTAGGCTTTAATAGTAATTTTCAAACAATGATTTCATTGGTGATGTGAACTTTCTTGTCTTCTATCTAATTTGGAATATAGAACACTGTTCATTTTTATCAATTCTTTTTATAGTTTTTTACATATTATGTATATATGTTATTGATTAAGTTTACGATAGTTTATGGCCATATATATTTAAAGTAAACTGTTCAATTATTTCTTGTAAAAAAATTAGAATCGCAACAAAAAATAATAACATTAAAAAAAAAAACAAAACTTGAATCGCTTACTACCCCTATAATCAAAAAATAAACAAAATAAATATAATGTAATCAACAATTAAACTTAAAGACGACATCAATTTAATTCTTACCCTTTGAGCATAAGAAGATGGCATCATTGAACGGATCACGGCTAGATATTCATTCATCTGTTTCCGGCGGTTGCGCTCCACGGTAATATGAGTCATCCTTTGATTCTCTAAGTCCTCTTTATTCTTACCACTCTTGGTGCGCCTCCGCTTCCTCCGACCAGCCGCCGTGGCCGTGGTGGTTGCCACTGTGGCAGTTGGTGATGATTCCACCTTCATGTCCCTGTGGCTGTCAGGTGAAAATAGTTCCCCAAGAAAATATCTGTCGCATTCGCCACCGCCAGTACAATCGTCCGGTGAAGATTTAGGATCCCATTGGTCCTTAATATGCATTGCTGAAGAAGATGAAGAGTAATCTCCCCAATATTCCTGGACACTTGCTGATTCTTGATGATGATTAGTATGATTGGTACCCTCCAAAAACCCACCGAAAATATGATCTTCCTGGAAAACATAATTGTACCCAACATTACCAATTTGCCCTTGTGAATATACTATTGTCTCTAGTGCCATCTCTCTCTCTCTCTCTCTCTCTCTCTCTCTCTCTCTCTCTCTCTCTCTCTCTCTCTCTCTCTCTCTCTCCTAAAATGTGATCATATACATTACAGTCGGAGAGAGATATGTGTGGGTTTTGTTTGAACGTTGATGGAAAAGGAATGCTAAAAGAGAATCGAGTAACGGATATAGGTACCGAAGAAGAAAGCTTGAAGATGAAGCACTAAGTATAAGACCAAGAAGAAGCGAACTCAAAAGATCGAAACAAATAAGCCTTTTTAATCTCTTGAAGGTAGAGTACAACAATGTCTTAAGAGTGTGCATATATTTTTTGTTCTTATAACGATGAACCCTAAATGAAATAAAAGATTCTACAGTATGTTTTACACGTGATGTTGTAAGTAGACCCTAGAGAGAGAAAACTAGAGAGAGATAGAGACCTCCTGAATATATATATATATATATATATATATATATATATATATATATATATAAAAAGTGAACATACCCTTAACAATATATAAGTTTAGATATCCAAATCCACCATCGTTTTAAATAATATATGTATTATAATGTTTTTAAACTTCAACCCTTACATAATTGTTTTCAAAAATTTCAAATTTTCACTATTAATTTCCTCTTACATAATATTTTTTAATTTTTTTCAGAAAACATGAATTTTTAAAAAAAATTGAAATTTATTTTTTAAAAAGACTTTAAATTTTTTTTTAAAACTGCATTTTTTTTTCGAAAAACTGCATTTAAAAAATTACAATTAAAAAAACAGCAATTTAAAAAAAACTGCATTTATATAAAAAGTAATTTTTTTAAAATCAGTAAATTTAAAAAATATATATGTTTAAAAAAGAAACTAATTTTTTTAATAAAAAAATCAACGTTTTAGGTGTATATATGCATATTTTTTCAAATGCAGATATGCATATTTCTTATAGTATAATATTCGTAAGTAATTTTAAAAAATCTTATTTTTATTAATAAATCTATAAACATAATACTACAAGTATTATATTCGATAAAAAAATAATACAAAAAAACTACAAAGATTCACAATGTTGTCATTTCTTCATATCAATATTTTCATATTTTCTTCAATTTATCACTTTTCACATCTTCAATATTTTCCACAAAATCTACAAGATAATAAAAAAAAAGTTGATTAATGCAAGAACACTCACAAAAATGCACATGTATATATCTTGTAAGATTCACATGTGATTATATAATATAATATTCACATGTGACTGTATCTTTTAAGATTCAAATGTAAAATTTACAAGAAAATTTTAAAAAATAATTTACGAACACTCACACAAAATACATGTGTGCATATAGACGTAATTCATATGTGATTTACTTGTGAATTACATGTGAATCACATGTAATTTATACGTTATTTGATGGGTTTTATGTACTCTAACATCCCTATGGTGCACATACAACCCTAATGCTTTCGATCTAAGTTTTCTCTAATTATACATGCAATATTCTTTTTCCAAAGCATGAAGCCTAACTAGCATGCAACCTTGATATATGAATCATAAAAATAAAATAAAAATAAAAATAAAAAAACTAGTTAGATGATTACCTCTTGTAGTAGCTTGTAGAACTTGGCCTTATAAGAGGTTAGCACCTCAAGTGTGATGCCTCAAACAAGTCACAAACACCAAGAACAATTAGAGAGATATGAGAGAGGTTTAGGAGACACCAAAATCGGCTAGCCACTTCTACGAACATCGGTGTCGATTTTGGAGCTAAGGGAACACCTTTATAGTGTAGAATTCCAATAGTCACTTCTTAACCTTAATTCACACACTTAGGCTTTTAATCCAACAACACTTCATGGACTCTTATATGAACTTAGTCCATTACTAGTTAATCATTGATCATTAGACCAAATCATATGCTTCACTGATTTACATAATTGGCCCCTATTAATTTAATCAGTCTCTTTTGATCATTAAATTAAATCCAAACTAATTCTTGGTCAATACCAATTAAATAATATGATTTCTCAATTAATATATTATTCTTATAATACATTAATAAATCACAAATAACTCTTTTTTCAAATATCCATCCTATCAAATTGTTTTGGTGAAGGCAACCCAAAATGGACCATCCTAATATCGGGTTAAGTACATACCAATTGTAGTTATGGGTTTAGACACCTAATCCAACAGTCTCCCACTTGGATAAGTCTAATAACTATAACTGCAAGTACGATTCCAAAAACCAACTAGCAATCGTAGCTCTCAAACGTCGTTGTCGAACTCTTACGCGTCCATAGGATAAGGGATCATATATTCCTCCATTCTACAAGATATAGTATGAACTGAGACATGGATTATAATCATTCTCTCTGTTCATGTGTTGTTTCCCGATTTCCGATTTATGACGACTGACTAATTGAACAAATCAAATCAGTCCAGGCTTGGCCAAGCGCTTAGGGTGTCATCACTAAATCATCGAGGGGCCAATATATATTGCTTTTATCCCTCTTAGTGTAAAAGGAACGGATAAACTTCGACTCAAATGCTTGCTCTATTTACTCATCAAATCACACACAACAATACGTTTTATAACACCAAGTTACTGGTGCGTTTACGTATCATCGATGTGCAACGGACTTGTAAACTACAACTATATGTCTCTGTTTCAAGAATATAAGATATTATCGTCTCACAATCACTCGTGATAAAATCCATGAAGTGATTAAGTGAGCATGGGCTTAATCCAGTACTCAAATCTGATTGCAAGAGTACTCATGAACAGTGCAGCAAACTTGTGCTATATCCAAACACTTAGACAATCTACAGTCAGATTCATGACAGTCTTACTCATTACTTACTTCCAAAGTATGATTGATTGTGGATGTTTGAATAACCTAGTTATTCGGAAAGTAAAACATGCGAAGTGAAACACAAGAATAATTGAATCCAATATGGTCTCAAAACTTTTGAATATAAATAAAAATACCTATTATTTAATCACCATATTGATTACATATTATTCAGTGTATAATGTTTCGACTAATCAACTTAGTACTTGAATTAAAACAATAGTCATCCCAGGCTCCAAGCATTCACTCTATGTTTACTTATGATCCTTACTTTGTTAAATAGATCAATTGTAAACATTTCCAATGATACTCATTTCAAAATTCCAAATCCTTATCATAACTGTAAGAATATGAAATTCTCGCCACTATTAGAATGTGTTAGATTCTAAACTATCATGCAATGATCCTTTTTGTAATGTCAATGCACCAAAGTCACAGAGACTTGGAAAATGATATTAAAGATTACTCCAATGGAGATTGTTACAGGACAATTCCACAGATACGAAGTCTCATATTTAAAGTACATTCCTTTGAACATCCTTCTTGCATGAAAGTTTCTAACGCACACATAGATTCTTAATATCCTACTGCCATTACGGAAACATTTCCATATTTGCCATGTGACAATCCTATTTATTCATAATCATGTCAATATGGTTCATCCATTACTATACTTCCAACTGTCCATAAGCAACCAATCTTTGGCGAACCTTGGATTGTCCTTAACAGTTGTTTAACAACTTTGGTCATATATGGTTCTAGTCCATTTTCCTTCTTAATGCCCTAGGCATTTCGAAAATTCAGAACACGCAAATGTTATAACATTTGCAATAGATCCTATACCTGAAGCATATGGGACACGATTTATAATGTTTTACATAAAGACATGATACTTTACCAGTCTCTTGCTATAACATTTCCATATATATAATTTCCTTATGTTGAATCATTTCATCATAACATTCATATATATATTCCTGACTAAATTCTATTAAAATCTCAATCTAAGCTTTTGGATTTGAAATGAAGTATGAGTTCCTCTCCCTTAATTATAGCAAAACAACTTTTCAAACTCTCCAACTTTGCGAATTGAAACTTTGTTTTCTATAATTAGCATTGCTAACACGCAACACTTAACATAATAATTGTGCTCCCACTAGCATAATAATTACATTCTTACTAGCATAAAACTTATGCTCCCACTAGCTTTGACATGTACACAGAAATCAGTTGGTCTTCTAGAAATCAATACTTGTTGACTTTCCTACCAAAGTTCAGATTTCTGATACGTGGTGTTTTGAAAAATCTTTATCTAGACTTCACGAGCTCATACACCTTTCATTAGAAAGCTCATATGTGTGTCTAAACAATTTCAGAACTTACAGCAGTAAGTCCCGAACGTTCAAACTATATTTTCATATCTCACAATTCGAACTATGAAGAGGGATGCCATAATCATAATCTAATTTGAGAATGCAATTAACACAACTGCAATCTCTTTAAAATCTACTTAGTGAAAGCGTTTCCTCACAATCATTTTCATGAATTGGAGAGAAACTTTATGTCACTTAGATTTTATGTTGTATGTGTTCCTATCCATGTGAATTTATCAAAACCATAATCACAAGACAATGTTTGCTACAAATCCAAACTCATATAGACTAAACTAGTTCAATCTTAATTTTCTGCCATCTAGTAGCACAAGGTGCCTTTCCTTATGCATTTAAATGAAAACTCATAGAACTCACATGCACAGTCAACCTAACGGGAACAGGCACAAAAACAAGAATATGTTAACACGATAGGTTATAGACCTCAAGTCGTGTGCTAGTGATAAACAATATCTTTATTCTTTATTAGTTCCTGAAACTATTCAGAACTATTAAGACTCCCACTGTCCTCTTGACATATAAGATTCTCTTGTCAAGAAACATTCCTTGACAACCAAATATTCAATAGTTAGTGTGAGATCCTATCAAGACAACGCTTCATGTAATTGGTCTTAGTTGATCTTTGTTTTTTGTCCAAAACATCACAACTTATCTTTCTGCCAAATTTGATTCTTCTTATTCGTTCTGCTATACTTTGAATCTTTTCAATGTATCAGACTTACACTTAAACTTGTAAGCATAACCATATTTACTGACCATTAGTAAATCATGACGAACAACCTTCTTCATTCTTTGTGGTGGATCTGACCAGTTCACATCAATGTGTACTAGATCCTTTTATCTTTCACTTGACTTACATACTTATGTAAACAAGGAATTAGTTCCAATTTCCGAAGTATCAAGATTTTCATACATTACATGATTCAAGTCATATGATTCCAGGTTTCTGTCCAATTGAAACTTGGGCGATAAAAATCTTTCCTTACTTAGAAAATTACGACACTACCACAATTGATATAACTAAGAATGAAACCATTTTCAACATCGCTATTAATGGAAACAAATATAAACAACAATTTTCAAAAATGTCATTGCAAGGAA